ACACAAGAAATTTCTTGATCCTGTTCTTCTCTAAGACAGCAGTTACCCTCAAGCACTGGGACATATCATTTAGGACTGCTTGCCCTGCCTTAAGGTAGTGTAGGTTATTGGTTGATTACTATAAAATATGTTGGGAATCTTACTTCCTAACTTCCTGTTTGTTTGTTTTTTTAAATGGAATCTCAGCCTTCAGATGGCATCCCTCCTGCTTCTACTCTGCTATTTATATCTTGGCATTGTCATCATAGGCGGGAAAAATCCATCCTGATGTTTGTCCCATGTCCCTGCCCCACCTCGCTCCGTTACAACAGCTGCTCGGTCCCTGGCAGGCAACAAGCACTGACCAGAGCTTCAAAATGTGATCATTAGCAACTACAGAGCCGACCCACGACACCGTAGACATCGACTCTGTCGTAGCACATTCTTACAACAGCAACTAGACCCATTTATCAAGACAATTTCTCTTGCACTCTGCTTCTCTGTGTGGCAGATTGTATTTTCTAAAATTCCTACAGCAATATATATGTGTGCGCTCACTGCTCTTCCAGATCCTCTTCCGACTCCTCCTCCCCAAAACTAGGCGGGGCTTGTGGTCGCCTCCATGAATAGAAGGTGCCAGAAGTGATACTGTGTCATTTCGTCATTTTGAAGGCTAGACTACCACTTGCTACCTGTGCTCTCTCTGTCTCTTTCTTTCTCAACAGGTTTGCTCTCAGGACCCAGCCACCTTGCTTCAAGAAAGCCCAAACCAGCCTGTGCCAGGGGCCACATGGAGAGGCCCAGGTAGGCGGGAATTGAAGCCCCAGCCGACAGCTTCAACTGCCAGCTGTGTGAATGCATGAGGTTTCTGGTAATTCTGGGCACCAGAGAGCAAAGAAAAACCACCCCCTCTCTGCCCTGTTTGACTTCATGACCCTCACAGCCACGAGCATTAACAAATGATTACTTTACACCATTTGGGGTAATTTGTTACCCAGTCATAATAACTGGAATGTGCTGGTAGCTTGGAGATACTGACTGAATCCATGTTTTTAATCTTCATGGAATTTACACTCCCATATTTCTGAGATTCCCCTCATGACTGCATACACAGAGGGAGTTTCACAGGGCCTGAGTTTAAAATAAGTTGAAAGATATCCTCAGGAGCCTGGTGTATAGAGTTGAAAATATTGAGTTTGTTGCTAATAATGTTGATTGGTGAATATGGCTTCAGAACTGTGGCCAAATGGGTTTGCTAATATCTCACTGGTCAGTCAGACATAAGCACTCGCCTAGACGGTGGTTCAGCTGGGTAACTCTGGGCCTCCTGCTACACACCTTCCTCCAGGGCAGACCCCTTGTTGCAAGACAGCAACCGGACTGCCCTGAGGAAGGGGCCAAGTGAACGTAAAGTGCCCATGTCCTTCTCCCAAACTCACTAAACAGGTCACTCCCTCCTCCACCCAGTAGAATGAGGGGTGGGGAAAGACGGAAACTACTACAGTAGATAAGCAACCTCCACAGGGAACCGTGAACCTCACACGTCTCCCAATATTATCAGTACATATTTATGTCTCTCATTTTTTCTACTTTAGCCTTGTCCTAAGCAAACCCTCCCGTGAAATCAGGGCTTTGATTTGCTAATTATACATTTTTCCAATGTACATTAAAGTAAGTACTCAACTATTAAAAATTGCTTATCTGTGCAATTTAAATATAATTTAAAATAAGTACATATTTATTTCACACATATCAGTGGATGCATATCACCCTTGGGCAATCAGCAATTGACACAGGTCACCCCACAAAATGAGTAAGCACCAACTCAGGCAGATAAAGAATTCAGTGTTTGGTCAAAGGCAAACATGAGATGTGAAAATTGATATTAAATGCAAAAAAAATTAGAGAAGATGAAATTTTAGTGTGTTTTTTCCCCCCAATAGCATCATCCTTAAGTAGAACGGTAGCAGAAGATTTATGAAGCAGGAACCAGGTACTATACATTAAGTGGAATCTCCTGATTTTTCTAATAATTCCAGGATTATGGTGGGCATTATGTAGAATGATCCTGGATTCTTCTGGATTCTGAATCTTAGTGCATTTCCCAAGCACCATTCTATGAGCCTTTGAGGCAAATTTTTGTTGCCTTACATGTGCTTTCCCTGACCCGTGACAAGAGCTGTTCTCCATTTCTTTTTTTCCCCTTCTTTTCCCCGCTTCCAGAGCCCACTGCAGAGAAGTCAGATGGGGGATGCCAGCCTATAGTGAGATGGAGGTTAGAGTGCTCTTGCCTGCCAATCAAGGTCTCTCGGGGTTGTTCTCAGATGTGATTTAAATAAACATTTGAAAGAGAAAAACCTCTTCCTTTACCCTGAGACCCCGACCTGCAACATCTTTCTCCTTCGGTTTCCTTCTGTGCCGCACTGACTCACTGCAGCAGAGGTGAGTTCTGCAAGGCAGCCAGGCCGTAGGAGTAAGCAGTGGCAACAGGAGCAGGAGATTTCCCCTCTTCTACCCCTGAAGAGGGGCTGAGACCTAGGTGACTGTCTCTCGGGATACTGCCCAAGGAAGGGCAGAAACAGTATGCAAGTCATCTAGGTAAAGCTACTGTGAAAACAGGAGACTCCCTTTAAAATGTGGGTCCATTTGCCTCTCTCCAGTATTATCAAAGGTACTTTGAAAAGTTAAAATCCAAGCAGCAACAGCTACAAGGGGTGGTGTGCAGCTGGCACGCCTGTTCTGTGCTGCACTACCCTGCTCTGCTGTGAGGGCTGCAGCTGGAGGGCGGGGTCATGCAGCAGTTCAGCTCAGCTAGGGAGGCTTGCTCAAAAATGTACCCACCGGGTTCACCCTCAGCAGAGGCCAGTGCTGTGGGTCCGGAGTGAAGGTCAGAACTTTTTCACAGCTTCCCCCAGAAACCCAGGGCATTCTGATGCAGAAGGTCTACAGAACTTGAAGAAACACTACTCTCCTTGCTATTACAGGCACTTTCTTCCACTATAATGCATATGCCTAAACTCTTACTAACTCTTCTGAATTTTAGTCTGTTTCACCTTTGACTTTGTTTTCCCGCATTTGCCAGTCACAGCTCTTTCCTGAAAGGAATCAAAAGGACACTCAACCAAGAGACCTGGGTTCTGACCCTGGTGTTCTCACTTGTGCTGAGCTTTTGGGCTTCTCACAGCTTTGGACCTTGGTTTCCTCATCTTCCAATTAGAGACTTTTTTAAATTTTTTTATTCTGAGCTTTAAAGAACCCCAGGATTCCTGCATTTTCCCTAGACCCAAAGATTGAATGAAGGGTGAAGGATAGACTAAAGTCTGGGATCAAGTCCCCCAGTCCCCAGCTCCTCCAACAACCAAACCGACTTGGCGTTGTATTTCACTTTATATCCTGGAGTTCCGGTAATGGTTTTGTTTGGGTAGGAGTGAGACTCCACTGCTGATGTGTTTTTTTAATCCACATGATTTAAAGAGGTGTTTAAAGAGTTCCTTAGCTCCCCAGGGTCTACGATTCCAGAAACCCTGGAGGGAACCCCTGGCAAATGCCCTTCTTTGTGGGATTTTTCTGCCCCATCTCATGTCCAATCTATGGAAGCCAGTTTTATTAGGCTGGGGAGAAAGGATTTGCTTCTGGGAACATGTTGTGTTAATAACCAGATGGACTCAAGAGTCATGTAAGCCTCGGAGTCAGAGAAGGACGGAGCCCCATCTGCTTCTGCTCAGTGTCCACCAGAGTTACTATTTCCCCTCCATGTCACCCCCCAAAACAGTGAGGTCCCTGATAAACTGTCTGTAAGTCATATGACATAGACAACAGGCTGTCCAGAGGACTGCCAGAGCCTTTCAAAGGCATAGTTCTGCTTGGAGAGGCATCACATCGTCTCAAGACAAGGGAAGATAAGTCCTGAGTCTTTCTCTCTGTTCAAGCACAAGGGCTATCACCGCAGAAGGAGGACTGACTCTTGGGCTTAGCAGGAAATGAGGGAGACGTCCTCCCGGGTTGGGCAGCAGTGGCCACACAGCCATGGTCACGTGCTAACCAGAAAGGGCGAGGCACTGCAGCTTGGCAGGCTTGTGCAGAGTTCTTCCGTTGGCGAGAAGAGTTGGGGTACAGAGGGAGTAACGACTTACATTAATTGAAGGAACAAGTGCATCCTTTCCATTCATGTCCGTAAATAAGGACACTGCAGGACAAAGTAATACCAGCTAACTCTGGCCAGGTTGGAAGACACAGATGGCACCTGCCCCAGACTGCCAGCATCGGCATGTGCTGGAAAGGGCTCTGTCCTCTGCATCAACCACCTTCTCTTCAGAACACAGCCTGACAGCCACAAGCACTTACCTGACACTGGACTAACTTGTCCCCACACCACTCTAATATCTCCTGGCCAGTAAGACATGTATCACAGGCAGCCCCTAAGTTGGTCACTCATACTGTCACCCACAGGAGGAAAAAACTATGACTTATATTCTATATCTATCTATCTACAAAACCTGCTTGTATATAAGTAAGCAGTAAACTATATAGTTTAATAGATTTTTTAATCTATAAATGTCATAAACTTTGCCCAAATTTCAGAGAACCCTATTAGAAAACTAAACTTTGGAATTAAATAGATTGCAGAAAGAAAGTCTGCTCTGGTGAAACCCAATTCAGTAAATGAATTCATTCAACAGATGCCTGTTAGTCCCTCTTAAGTGCCAGATGTTGTGTAAGGAGTTGCAGCAAATCAAAATAGAACCCAACCACCATCTTGAATAGGAGAATCACACACACACACACACACACACACACACACACACACACACACGTTAAGTATCAAACTTATCTCATGCAAGATATAAACCAAAAACTGTGGAAATTGAGAATGGGATGCTCTGCCCAAAGGAGGGTAGTAGGAATTTTATAGGCAGACACAGAAGATACCATATTGTAGGAAGAAGGAAAATGTCACAATAGCGAAGTCTCACAACCTTCCACGTCACATACATCTAGGGGTGCTTTCCTGTTTAGGGAAATTGTGAATCCAGTTTGAGTAGAAGGCAGAGTGGGAATGGAGGGCTAAGCGAAAAAGCAGAGGGCAAAGGAGTGGGGCTTAAATCTGAATGCAAGGGAGAGTGATCCGAATAGAACGGCTATGTGGTCGGAGCTGGGCATGAGGAAATGATACCTGGTTCTGGGTGTGACCTGGTTTGGGAGGAGAGCAGGGAAGATTGGAAGCTCATTTCGGAGTTCCCTGCAGGACTCCTGACAGGGAGATCTGGGCCTGGAGTTGGCAGTGGAAATGGAAAGGAACCAAGAGAGAGAGGAGCCACTGCTGAGGCCAAATCCACGGGGCCGGGTCATGGTTTGACTGGAGGAAGGGAGCAAAGGTGACATAGAAATCTCCACCAGGCTCCAGGGAGAAGGGGTCTAATGTAGTTAACACAGACACAGTTGGGAACAAATATATCTTGGGAAGATAAAATTAAGTTTAATTTTGGACAGTTTCATAGGGAAATAGAATTTATGAACTGACCTGCTTGGTATTAATTCTCTTATCAAACCGAACTGCCCTGCTATCATTAGAATACAGCCTGAAGGGAAGCCTGAGTGAAGAAAACATCTGCAGCCCATAAAGAGATGGGAGAGGCTTTGAGGGACAGCCTATTCCTCTGACCCGCCAGGTAACAGAGTGCAGATTCACTCAAGTTATTTCTCTTTTTTCCTTTCAATTAATAACTTTATTTTCTTTTCAGTTTTGAGGTGTAATTGACAAACAAAACTGTAATTTGTTTCAAGTGTACAACGTGATAATCTGATATACTCATTCACTGAAAGAATTCCCACCACGAGTTAAGGAACATATCTGTCACCTCACATGTCTGCCTTTTTTGGGTGGGGGAGTGAGAACATTAAATTCTACTCTCTTAGCAAATTTCAGTTATACAATCCAGTATTATCAGCCATAGTTACCATGTTATCAGGAGACCTCAGCCTTATTCATCTTATAAGTCAGTTTGTACCCTTTTACTAACCTCTCCCTATTCCCAACCCCAGCCCCCATCCCAGCCCCTGGCACCCACTTCTCTGTTTCTAAAAGTTCAACTCTTTTTTTTTTAACATTCCAATGTAAGCAGAGTCACTTAATTTACTTGGGTAAATAGCCTGGTATGAAGCAAATGTAGCAAAGTCTAATTCTTAGGCACACACAGTGGAAAGAACTGTCATGTTAGTTGTCAGGGGAAAAAAAACATCCCCCTGCAAATCATGAAAGTTGGCTTTAATGCTGCATGAAAATCTCGCTCTGCTTACTTGGCTATTGCTTTTACTTTCTCCAAGACATAAACTTGTCTGCCTGTTAATTCAGCCATTGTTTGTAAGAACATCAAGTTTTTCCCCCAGGATATTTTGAGATGAATGCAATTAATCTACTTTTGAATCTGATGAATTTTTTCTTTACCCATACTAGATATTGGCAAGAATTTGTAGCGTCTCAACTGGGAAAGAAAAAATTTTTCTTTAATTTTCAGGGTTTTCACTTTTAGTCTGGGGAGGTCAAACCCAACTTCAGTTTTTAAATTTCACAATCTAAATGATTGCCAAACAACCAAAAAAAATGATCTCTTTGTAAGTCTTTTACCCTGCCCTCCCAAAATGCAAAGAAACTGGTGAACAAAATTTATCTAAAGATATTTTAAAGATTCAAGTAAACTGAGGTCTGAAAAGCCAGTTTACTCCTCCAGGTAGGAGGTAAAATCCCAAGGAAGTCCTGTGTCTCAGCACAGGAGGGTGGTTTTGGAATTGCAGAGCAAAGTCACATAGGGAAGAGCTAAAACAGGTGCAGGGTGGTGAAGCAGAGCCCCTGGCTAGCCCTGGGCTCCAAGCATTTGGGGCAGGCTGGGGTAATCCCAAGGAATAATATGAATAATAATAATAAATGTAAAAATCGCTACTGTAGCATAACTACTTATGCTAGTCACCACACTACATATTTTCATAATATCCCACCCCATTTCACAACATCCTTGTGAGGGAATGTTTTTATCCTCATTTTACAGATAAGGACATCAAAGCCTCAAAGCAAGCTGCAAAGTGGCAGATGTATGACTGGGACCAAGTGCCTTCCGACTCCAAATTGTGCTCTGTGCACCCTGCTGCTCGGCCTCTGCACCAGGTTTTCCTCACACACCTGAGATCAATCCCCTGGCTCCAGGCTGAAGCTGTTCAGTGCCAAGAGCCAGGAGAATGAGACCTTGGGCCTGTACGTCAGACTGTTTCCAAATTCCTCTGGTGGACGGCTGTCATTTGAGAGGCTCTGACTTCCTTTTTCATTCTTCTGGAGGTTATTTTATAATTTCCCCCACTCATAATAAAATAGATATTTTTCCCATTATTATATAAAAACAAGATACTGAGGGGTTCCATTGCCCCTCTACTTACCCCCCTGACGTTTGTGTTTCCCCATTCTTTAAACAAGAGCTTTGGAATGCTGGTATCTCCTTTATCTATTACCACCTCCCAATTCCTATTTGCTGAGACCCTTTGGCACTTTTAGTTCCAAATGATTATTAATTTTTATCCTCACATATATCTTCAAATTCTTCGATTTTGAAGCTCTTTGACACTTATGTTACAGATTCCCAATCTCTCTCCTTTGAGATTCAGCAATGTGTGCTTCAAGTTTCCTTGTTCATCGCTCTTGAGGTTCCCTTAACTTGAAATGTTTTTTCTTGGTATTTGTCATAGCTAGGATGCATGTGGGATAGACACTAAGTCATCACATGTTCATCAGTAGTTTTCTTTTTCTCTGGGAGGCAAATAGCATCTTGGCTGAGAGTAAGCTTTTTAGATTGCATTACTTTCTTTCAGTGTCATTTAGATATTCCACTGTGTTCTGACTCCCTTATTGCCTGTTGAGCAGTGGCTAATACTAATTTGATACATTGTATTTTGCCCAGAAGTGTGTAAGATTTCTCTTTAGATTTGCAATTCAGAAAACTTGCCAAAATGTATCTAGGAATAGACAAATTACTTATTTTTCTCATCCTGCCTAGAACTAGTAAACCTTTCCAAGGCAATGACTTCAGTCTATTTAAACTTGAGTGTTCTTTATCTAGAGATATTTCTTCTGCTTAATCATCACACCATTCATTGGATTCTCAATTTCATCTCTCCTCTCTTTCTATTTCTTTCACTGAATTATTTAGCTTCAGAATACTGCTTTTTATGCCCAGAAAGTCCTTTTCATGCTGTGATGGTGTCTCCTTGAGTGAGTGCTTGTTTATTATTAAAGTTTATTATTATTATGATTCTGTCTCCTCTAGCAGTTACTACAGTGTTCTGGTGGCTCTTTCTTCTTTTTTGACTGCTGGGTTGCCTAAGAGCATCTCTTTGTCTCCTCTTGGTTCTGTCGGCCCTGAGGTTTAGTCAAGCTATGGCTGTGCGTTAGGAGAGAAGAAGCTGTGAGTATCCTGCCCAACCAGATGTCTCTGCTACCGAGGGCCTGTGGCGGAGCAGCACCCTGTAGCTCCTTCCTTGGTCCAGGACCAGGCAGGAGCTTCCTGCTCCCATCCTTCTCACCAGTAAGGGCTGCTGTTCCCTCAAGAAAGAGAAGAGGATGTCCTCCTGTTCAGTGGACTCAGGTGTTCAGCAGTTTCTCCTGGGCTGCTTGTAGGCAGATTGGCAAAGTCTGTCTTCTCAGGTAGAGATCTACAGACGTCCTCCAGGTAATCTCTCTCAAAGATCCACTTCTCACCCCAGGACCCTTGGCCTCCATGTTTCTCAGAACTGGGTCTGATTTTCAACAAGGGTGCCAAGACTTTCAATGGGAAAAGAATAGTCTTTTTGACATATAGCCCTGGTCAACTGGATAGCCATAAGCAAAAGAATGAAATTGAATGCTTCTCTCACACAATATATAAAAATTAGCACAAAATGGATCAAAGACCCAAATGTAAGAGTTGAAATTATAAAATTCTTGGAAGAAAACATAAGCAGAATAAGAAGAATAAATATGCAGTACCTTAGATTTGATGGTGGATTATGACACCCAAAGCACAAGCAAAAAATGAAAAAATACATACACTAGATTTAATCAAAATTAAAAACTTTCATGACTCTAGGGGCACTGTCAAGAAAGTGAAAAGACAACACACAGACTGGGAAAAAAATCGGCAAATCATTGATCTGATAGGAGATGTCATCTGGAATATATAGAGTTCTTACAACTCAATAATAAAAAGGTAAACACAATTTTTTAATGAGTAAATTGTATGTATAGACATTTCTCCAAAGAAGATACAAATGGGTAATAAAATGAAATGATGCTGGACATGATTATCCTTCAAGGAAATGCAAATCAAAACCACAATGAGATATCACTTCACACACTAGGATGGCTAGAATCAAAAACACAGATAATAACAAGAGCGGGTGAGGATGTGGAGAAATCAGAACCCTCATATATGCTGCTTTTGGGAATGCAAAATGGTGCAGCCACATTGGAAAACAGTTCCTCAAATGATTAAATTTAGAGTTTTCACTTGACCCAGCAATTCCAGGCCTAAGTAACAACCTAAATAGAAACAAGCCAAGTCCATCAACTGACAAATGGATAAACAAAATGTGATACATCCAATACAATGAAATATTTGCTGCAGCATGTCATACTTGCTGCAGCATGAATGACCTTGAAAATATTATGCTATGTGTAAGAATACAGTTACAAAAGACCATGTATTATATAATGCCATTCATATGAAATGTCTAGAACTGGCAAATCAACAGAGACAGAAAGTAGATTAACACTGCTTTGGGCTCAGTGGAAAGAGAGGAAGGGGGACAAAAGGAAAAAGCTACAGGGTACAGATTTCTTCTCGAGGTGATGAAATATTCTAAAATCAATTTGGTCATGGTTGCATGTATCTGTGAATATAGTAAAATCCATTGAACTGTATACTTTAATTGGGTGGATTATATGGTATGTTGATTATCTCTCAAAAAAATGTTACAAAAACTATGCTATTATGAAAAAAATAGAATAACATTGCTAACGATATTGCATAAGAGCAAAGATTAAAATAACCCTAAGCCTATGTCACCAATAGAAAGATAAGCAATGATCTCAAGTATAAGATGGGAAAAATTATAACACAAACATTGGTATATAAAGTGCCACAATTTATTACCAGTTATAAATATAGCACATAAATATAAAATTCTATTAAAATTTAAATTTGACCTAAATACAGGGCTTCAGATTTAGCAAATAAACACATAGCATATCCAGATAAATTTGATTTATTTCTAATTGCATATGCATATATACATTTAAATAAATGAAAAATATGGTGTGGGACATACTTTGCTATAAAAGCATCTATTATTTATCTGATTATTTATCTGAAATAAATTATGACCATCTAAATTGCATATCTCTTTCTTTAATTTTATTTATCTGATGACTTGGTTCTCCTTAACAGTTCCTTGCTTCTCTAAATCTGCTTCATAAAATTCCTGTGGTTACAGTCTATATTCCATTTACACTGTAACATATCATCTACAGTGCTCAGCGTATTTCATTCTTTTGTCCATCCATCCTCATTAGTGAAAAAACATGGTCAGTCCTCATGCTTATATAAGGCAGTATGCTAAACACATACTGGCATAAAGCTAAAATTCTGATCATTACTCTTCAAATTTCACTTGTTGAAGCACATACCATATTTTGTGGCATAACTTGCTTTCCTATTCTTGAAGAAATTATGTTACATCCCTTGGTCAATAACAAAGTCCATTGATATAAAAGAGTATTGTTGTTCACTTTTATTCCCTTTTTCTTCAATACCCATGATTCCACTTGTTCCTGTGCTGGCTGAATATTTAGTAATGTCCAGTAAAATCATCAACTTCTTCAAAGGATGACATCAATGTCAAAACATAATTATAGCAAGTGCCATAGTAATTACCTACTTCAAGTTGGAATTTCTTTTCCTTTTTAAAAATACCTTTTCTCAATGGGGCATTACTGTTAGCACACATAATATGTGGTGGGGGGGTGACATGGAAAAGGCAGTATAGAAAGAGAAGACAAGTAGTGATTCTATAGCATCTTATTACGCTGATAGACAGTGACTGTAATGGGGTATGTGAGGGGGACTTGATAATGGGGGGGAATCTAGTAACCATAATGTTGTTCAAGTAATTGTACATTAATGATATCAAAATTAAAAAATTTAAAAAAACTTTTCTCCTTTTCAGAAAAGCCTTGATAATGAAAGGCATACATTTTTCATCAATCCTTTCTTTAGTACATTCAAGAATTTCCTCTGAACAGTGGAGTACTTATAAAACGTTGTTTTTCAGTTTACATAATCCTCTTGCTAAAGTGATTGAAAACTAAGAAATATGCAGCCTTTGCTGAATAGATTACTAAAAACTCAACAAGAATCTTGAGGTTCTTTTCTTCATAATTAAATATGATTTCATACCTTAAATGATAAAGTTAAGAATTCCTTTACATGTATTTGTTAAAGAGAGCCAGAAGATTTTTTTGAGAGCTTGAATAATGCCAGGAAAATCAAAAAATTTTACTTGCTCAGAATAAACAGTATAAGGCTGTTAGTAAGTATAAATGGCAAAGAAAGAGAACAAATTCATAAGAATGCCATAGCAGTGTCAATAGACATCAGATGCTGTCTGAGCAATATTAAGCAGAAGTTGTGCAGGACAACCAGCACTTGCTATGGAATCATTCATGCTTTGCTTCAACTTCGAATAAATTTTATCTGCACATTTACACAAACACCTGCCTGGTCTACATCAGAAGCAACATAATCTATCTCACTAACTCCCAGGGTATAAGAGAGTCCTTGCTAAAATTTGCTAATGTTTCTGAACTCTTCTTATCTGGAAGGGATTTTACTCCTAATGGCCTTGTAAGCAAGCGTGTTTCACAAGAAAAATATTGCACAAGCAAAAGGAAAAATGTTTTCCAATTGTGATCATTTGCATGATCCAGGAGCTGCTGACCCAGGAGCGGGAAAAGAGCTCTTGCGGAAGACTCTTGTGGGAGCAGCTCCTCCCGGACACGTGGTCCGCCCCGCCCCGCCCCGCAATCCCTCGAGGCAAACTGCAGTCAACAGAAGCCAAACCCACGACATGTACACACAGAGCCACAGACAGAAAGGATAAGCACACACCCAAGAATCACCACGGAGAGATACCAACCCCAAGAACAAAAACAAAAACACACAAAGGAACAGTTACTTGAACAAACAGAAAAGACCCTGAAATCATTATAATTAACATCCTTGCATGATAAAAGAGAAATCTAGGTATCTATTCATATCTAACAAGATAGGCAATTAGGAAAAAAGCCCCAAATTCTTACAAATTAAAAACGTAATCACAGAAAAATTTAAAGCTCAGTAAATAAGCTTACTAGAAGAATGGACAGAACTGAAGATCAAACATTGGCTGGATGATCTAGGTGAAGAATTTGCTTATGACCTGGCGCAGCCCAGAAGTTCTGATGTCTGCCTGGGGAAGGGCCGGAAGGAGGGAAGAGGGGTGGCCGTGGGAGAGGGAGGGAGGCTCTAAAAATTAAACATTTTTTAAAAAGATTTAAGTAAGGAATTAAGAGAAATAAAATGACTTTATGAAATAAAAGGTCTTTAGTAGATATTAGTGTATATTAACACATTTTATATAATTATTAATGGACTTCATGTAACAAGGTATTTTTCTTCTCGGACAAATGAGTCAAAAATGACCATTCCTACGTGTGAACTATTTATAATTATCCAAAAATAAAACATTTTGGATAAGTATGAGCAGATTCTATCAAACTGTGCCTGTAAGACTTGTTGATGGACATTGAAGTCTAAATACATGTGGGGAATGCTTTATCTGAATGGGGAACATACACAGATCAGATGAAATGAGTCATGTGCTCTGTGAGAACAGATCCGAGAGCTCTGAACCCGCACAGACGCGACCGTTACTTGGACGCTTTACCCTTCCATGTCAGCTACCTGCTTCCGGTGCTTCTATTGGATGAATTCCAACACATTCTTCTATCTAATTTTGCCCCCCTCTTTCTTCAGGATTCTCTTGCCCACCTCCATTACTGAAGCATTTCATTTTAATTTACAGTCTGTTAATTCTGTTAATTTCCCTTGAATGTTTCATTTTCATTTGTTCTAGTTTCTAACTTCTTATCTGTAGTTCAGCCATTTTTTGAGAAATGAAAACTTCTAGATCCAGGTAAAACCACCATAAAAATACAGTTTTTATAAACATTTTATTATCTTGAATTTAGTTCAATATGATGAGTTTAACATCATGTGCTTCAGAAACTCAATGACTAATTTATAAAAGATTAAATAATTAAGTGATCAAAACTGCTGTAATCCCTATGCATATTATATAACCCATCACCTCTCACTGACAACATAAGTTAACAAGCATAGTTCATACTATTGGTGAAACACATTTACTGGATAAAGTGATCAGATAAAACAAGGTCCAGATGTTCCTTGGGGAAAAACAAACTTTTATTTATTTGTTTTGTTTTGCTTTTTAGTGGGCATACAAATGAAAGAGAGAGAGGGGAAAAAAAACGAAAACAAAAATACAACTTTGAAAAATCTGGTAAAGAAAAGAATGTATA